AGAGCGTAGCCAAAGTGTTAGCAGGGTACCAAGCTCCAGATCTACCTGTGGTAACGCCGACAATTCGTGACCTACAGCAGCGTTTGACGGTACTGGAGTTTGGTCAGCTTGTGACCCTTCGAGACGAGCTGTACCGCCACGTACTTGGTTTCCAGGACGCTCGATTTAATGTCGCATTGGACGTCGTTGATTGCACGTTTGCATCGCTGCTAATGCACATGGATGAGGCTCGCATCCACATCGAAAACACCACCAGCACCTCGGTCTCGTCGCGCTACATGTACGAGCTGCATCGCGGTATCGCCTCTTCCAACGCTCGTCTTGGCTCCTGCATCACGATACGAACATGCTGTGAGTGGGGGGCGTACCTGAGAGCTCACTGGAAGACGGCAAACCACATGCAGCTTAGCTATGCCGTCGCTGGTAACGACACGCTGCTATCATCCACTCTTAACAACATGTTAGCCCAGCTTGTGAGCATTAGCGAGCGACTTGGTCGCCTTGAAGACTCGCAAGCCCAGATGCAGAGCCAGGCCTTAGGGAGTACTCAGACGCAACAGCAGTCACCACAGCTACCTACTGCTGTTGAGGTTGTCGTCCCAGCTTCAGCGTCAGCCTCCACCCTTGCTGGATGCCTGCTCAGCTGGTACACTAACCACATATGGCAAACGGGTAAAGGTAAGAAGGAACAAAACCAGCGTGCCGAAGCAAAGGCAGCAGTGAACATAATGATGGTACTGTACGAGAAGCCGTACCAAGTCCCAGAGGAGCCTCCACGAGCCGACGTCGCAGCTTACAGTGCCTGGAAGCACGTAGTCTGGGAGCTGGCACTCAAGCTGGATACAGCCGCGAACCAGCGTCTCCACGCCTTCGACAAAAAGAAACCAACTCGCAAAGCTTCGTCCCTTCGCAAGCGCTGGCGCCTGCTGCGTACGTCGCATCCTGATGCGTATCGCTCGCTTGGAGCACAGTATCTTGTCTTGAAATCCAGTGGGTCCCTCGTAGATGCCTGCACACCTCCATCGCATCTGTGGGCAGCAGGTGACTTGGATTGACAAGCCGTTGGGCAGCACAGTTCAGCAAACATAAGCACGAGCAAATAGCACTCACGAGCATCAACACCATTATAAGGCAGTACACCACAGTAGATAGTTCAGCAATCAGTACAGCCTACATTACAAAGCATCACACACCACACACAATGCACACAACATGTTACAGCACACAGTACACAACATAGCAGCACATGCACATGCACAGCCCAACACAACACTGCAGCATACGCACAACACACAGCACAGCACGCCCAATCCAGCAATACACGAGCAAATGCACATCACAGCATGTACATACATATACCGCATCACACGCGTCGCTCCATAGCACACAGCACAGCACCAGCTTTTGCAAACACACCACAGAGTACAGCACAAACACAATCCACGCAGCACAGCTTACAACTATCTGCCCCCGGCTGGATTCGAACCAGCGGCCTGGAGACGTAGTCTCCCGCTCTACCGCTGAGCTACGGGGGCGTTGGGGTCGGAGAAGGCACGCACCGTGGTCTGGAGTTGGAGCTGTGGCTGGAGGCTTGAGGGGTACGCTTGAAAATCGCTGAATGAACAGCGAAGAAGACTGTCGCAAGGTAGCCACCTATTTGCAATTCATTGAATTGTTATTTAAGCCTATCCACTGTCATCCGGAAAAAATAATCCGACCGTGATTGGCCGGATTCCACCCGGCATGACTCAGTCATTCCGTATGGCGACCATCCGGACTGGTGTCCGGAATCGGCCAATTACTGTAATCGGCACCATATCGTACCTGTAATCTACGATACGTGATGGTGTTGATTGGGGCCTACTTAGTCTCACCGAAAATAGCATGGCCATCAGAATAATTTGAAAGTAGACAGTATGCTTCAGCTTGTGTATTGGGGAGTGAGTGTCTAGCTACGCTTACTTCGTCTCGGCGTCCTTGGTGGTGTCCTTGCGCTGAGTCTAGCTTCCAGTGCTTTCCTAATCGTGGGGAAGTCCGCCGAACCGATCCTCCAAGCCGCAGTTCTTGCTGTGGTCCACGTGGACTACAGCCCTTCCAACACTCCTCCTCGGTTGTCATCTACGTGAAGTGGACGATTTGGCGCAGCTCCGCCAACCTGGGCGCCGGGAAGGCCTTGGTCAGTAGGTCCGCCTTCATCAAGCGCGACACTACGTACTTAGGCTCCACGATGCCCTTGCGTGCGTAGTCGCAGATGGACTTGATCCGGATGCCGACGTGTTTGACGCTTGCCATGCTGTCGTCGGACCCCAGCTGCTTGATGGCGTCCTGGTTGTCCATGTGCATGGGCATGAACTGGAAGACAACATGGTGCAGATCGTGCACAAGCTCTCGTCCGATGTGGGAGGCCGCCGTGAGCTCGGCCTATATGGTTTTCAACGACACGCCCGCCTGCTTCTTGTAGACCCAGTGCACGATCGCTCCGTTCATGGTGACCACGCCTCCGGTCGGCCGCTGTTGTCGGCCGCGAGGTCCGCGTCGCTTCAGCTCTCTACCTGAATGCAGCGCCCATCAGCCGCGCCGACGTCCATGTGAAGCTTGAGGGCCTTGGTGGCCTTTAAGTACCGCGCGATCCTCTTCGCAAGCCTCCAGTCGCTAGTCCGCGGCTGGTTCGTGTACCTGGTCGCCTTGTGCACCGCGAAGCTGATGTCAGGCCTGGTGCACCGGGCGATCCAGTGCAAGCTACCGACCAGTAGCTGGAAACCCCGAATCGTGGGCTCGTCGTTGGCGGCGACGCTCGGCAACAACCGCAGCTCTTGGGGCTCGGTGTCGTTGGACACTTCGCCTATGGGTGTCTTGACGCCGTTCGTGTCCGCCAGTATGAACTGCTCTAGCAGCTCCTCGATGGCGGATTGCTGGTCCAGACTATAGTCATCTGCCTCGTCGAGATGTCCGCGCATCCCGAGAAGCTTGTTCACATTACCCACGTACTCGAAGGACAGGAGGTTCGTGGCCACAAAGAAGTCCTCGACCAGGTCCAGCGTGGATGCGATGACTAGCGGGTCGTCCACGTACACGCCCATGATGGTCATGTCGCTGCTGTCGAGCTTGTAGTAGAGACACATGTCTGTGATGCAGAGCGTGGAGCCTAGCTCCACCAACTTGGCGTAAAGCAACTGGCATCACAGCCTCGCGGCCTGCTTCAGGTCGTACAGTGACCTCTTCAACCGCAGCGCGTGCTTCTTGTAGCTGCTCACGGCAGGACACGATCATACCCTTGGGGATAGCCTGGTAGATCTCCAAGTGCTGTTCCTTCTTGGCCTTCACGGTGGCGTTTGGGTTTTTCCTATGCTTGGCAGGCATGCGCCAGCGACGAGCGAGCACCAGAATCACTTTGACAGCGAACGTGACGTTGTAGTCAATGCCGTACAGCTGCTCGTTGCCGCATACCATCAGGCGTGCCTTGAAACGCTTGATGGCGCCGTCGGCGTCGGTCTTGGTCTTGAAGACCCACTTCGTGTGTAGCACGTGGCTGCCGACTGGTGGCATTTCGACCGTCCACACACCGTTCATCTTCATCGCCTTCAGCTCGTCGACCATCGTGGTGGTCCACTCGCTCTTGAGTGGGTTCTTCATGGCCTACTCGTTGTTCTTTTGGTCGGCCTCTCGCACGATGTTCACCACGTCGGGGGCCGTCCCATCTTCGCTGTCACCAGTGCTCGCCAAGGCCACCGCCTTCCGTGAGGCCGATCGCGTATGGTATTTGTTGCGCGTTTGGGGGCTCTCCGCGCGGCCTTTTCCCTTGGCCTTCGCGGCCACCGCCGCGCTCAGTGTGCCTTGTGAAGCCACACCACCTTCTTTCTCCTCTAGCCCCTCCGGGTCCTGGAGGTGTACGCGTCTGAGCTGCTCGCTCTGGGTGGGCGTGAGCGACCCCAGGTTCCTTACATGCTGCGTCACCACGCCCCCCCCCTCCTTGGTAATGTACACTCTGTACCCCTTCATCTCGTCGCTCTTGCAGATGATCATGGCTGAGATGCCGCGCACTCTCAACGACTTGTTCTTGGCGTCGCGGTGCACTGTGCACGGTGAGCCGAACGCCAGATGTCCTGAGGTCGGGGGTGCGCTTAGTCAGCATTTGCATAGGCGACTTGGCCCCCGGGCTACCCTTGCCCGGGGCTTGGTTCAGGATGTAGGCGGCGTATTCTGCGGCGTCTCCCCAGAAGCTGAGCGGCAACCCGCACGCGAACATCATGCCCCGCACCATGTTTATGATGGCGTGGTGCATGCGCTTAGCCGTGCCGTTGCTGGTCTGGTTTCTGGGCTCGCTGATCTGGCACGCGATGCCGGTCTGCTTGCAAAAGAGGTCCAGGAGCTCGTACTCTCCTCCGCCGTTCGTGCGTAGGACTCATATGCGGCAGTTGAGCTGGCGTTCGAAGAAATCCATAATGTGCTTGAACTTCAGCGCCGCCACGTCCTTGGGGTTGGCCAAGAATATGCGGCAGTAGTTCGTCCCATGGTCGAAGAAGTCCACCATATAGCGATTCCCAAGCCTGTGCCTGGGCGTCACGGGCCTCTTCAGGTCCGAGCAGACAACGCCACCAATAACGTCGATGGGCGAGCTGGTACATGTGTCCTTGCGCGACTGCGCGTTCTTGGTCTGCTTGCCTTGCGCGCACATCAGGCAGTTGTCGCGCTTGTGGTCCGTGAGCTCGATCCCCGAAGCCGGGTGCTTTGCGATCTTCCCGATGGAGTCGTAGTTCAGGTGGCTGAGTATGCGATGAACCTGCATGAGCGTTCCGACCTGCACGTCCGGTCAATACCTGTATTGGTGAGTTATTTTACTGTTTTGATTTAGACACTTGGACAATCCCTGTGTGAAAACTTGACCAATATCGTATTTTAATTTTAATTAAGTTAATTATTATAAAAAAGTCATGGGCCGATTTTTACCAACATGTGTTTACTGTTTACATACATGCCTACAATTACCGGTGGAGGCGAACATGGAGGAGGTGTACTTCCGGCTGCACCTACAGCTCATCCGCTGGGCGCAGCGTCTTCTAAGTGCTGCGGTGACGTTCCTCTGACCTCTCAGCTATCAGTACATACCACTAACGCTCTTTGTGGTATTTCAACTAATTATTTTCCCATCCCAGAACCGCGAAAGGATCGAGATGTTTTTGTTCGTAGTCGCTTCGCACTTTCTTCTGCTGTTTTTCATACTACATGCGAGTTTTATCAGCGATGGTGGTTCAGTTAGCTGTCTAGCACAGATTCTACCGCCTTCAGCGACCCCCTACAGTCTCCAGGACGGTCATCTTCGTCTGCTCCGAATTCAAATAATGCCCGACATTGACGCGGCTGCTTGGAGCCTCTCGACGGGCTCGTTGAGCTCATCTACGTTGCCCAACGCGTCTGAGAATTATACCCGTGCAGTGTTCCAACCGAATGTGGATTTGAGCTTCGTATACGCTCCCCAGAAGAGTCTATTGGCATTGTTGGAACACGCCAACACTATTCAGACTGACGTGAAGATGGACACACTGTTGCTCCCCAAATCGTCTCAGTGTTTTAAACTGCGATGGTTTAATGACTTGCCACTGTGCTCGTTCATAAGGGATAAAGTGGTTGGATACGATATAATATTAGTGAACCAAATAGTAAAACACTTTGGCGCTCGAGGGGTCTTTTACAGAGAAGACAGCCGCTCGACCATCAATTTGAGCTACGGAGTATTTAACCCGACGTTGGCGGCACAAAGTGTGCGTATTTTTTTTAGCTTAAAACATGGTAAAGTATCCGGTACTAACAGTGAGGTATTGGCTCGTAGTGGTTGAGGTTCGTGGCCATGAAAGTTAAAATCCTGCACACGATCCTGTTCTTGCTCTTTGCTCTGGCTGCGCTGGTGGCCTTTGTGCTGATGGAGACGCAGAAGAGGATGATCACGTTTGCAGCACTGTTCCAGAACCGACACCAGCTCCAGATCCCCTTTGCCAACCTGGTTTTGACTTTTTTCGCGCAGTCGCTCGTGTTTGTTCCAGTTCTGGTACGTCACTCTCTTCTTTATTTTTTAACGGATATTTAACTTACTGCTCGCTACTAGGTGGGTATGGTATATTTCTTGTTCGAGCTCTACAAGGATCGTTTACTGGCATTTGGCGTCATGACGATCATGTGGATGGGCGAGTCGTTCTCGGTCGTCAGCGTGCGGACGAGACTGTCACAAGCCTATTTCCCTCCGCTGTTCTTCTGTCTCTTCACGTTACTTCACATTTATCTCTTCTCGTTTCCGTTTGGCTTCTCGTATGTCGCGCTGGGTGTAACGAGCCTTCTCCTCCTCCAACTGATGCTCTTCTTCTGGAACTGCTTCGAGATCCCAGCTCTGAATCGAGGCGACATTTCAAGAATGTGTTCACGAGAGCAATTATTTCTTTCCTTTTTATTTTAAATCATTCAAGACGTTGATCCGTTCAAGACTTCAGACTAGATGAACAAAAATGGGGTATTATAGTCTTGTATGTGGTATCACTAACCTCACAGCGGGGACGATATTTTCAGACTTGGTGTTTACTCGGGCACTGGTGGCGCTTCTTGCCCTTCCAGTGGCTGCTGGTAAAGTAGACCAAGCGGAGACGACCTTCTTGACGCGCCGCTGTCGCCGTTTATCCAGAACCACAGTCTTCGTCCAGTTCCAGCGATGTACAAGTCGAGCACGACGTGCTGCTAGTTTCTGGGATATGTTCTACAGGATCATACCAAGCTTAAAAAAAAAAAACTTTTATCGATGTAAACAGACAAGAACTTACGTAAATTCGCAGGAATCTTCGCTCGTCATGCCACTTTTCGGTCTTGAAGTCGAGTGTGGCATGGGACTTTCGTGTCTCGTACAAAACTCGTAGCGACGATGCAGAGCTATCAGAAGCGAGCCCACTTTTGTGAATTATCGACGCACGAGCTCCCAACGCGACTTGAAACGGAAGCCCCGCACTCCGTCGTTCTTCACATTTTCGCTCAAACAAAAGCATGGACACACGTTCGCGGGCTTGGCTCCCACTGGAAAAGAGATTGGAAGTCAGCTGAGAATAAGAAAAATAAGAAACAATTAAAAAAAAACGAACCGAACTAGAGCTTGGATCTGCACCGCCGCACCATTTTTCATTCTAGGAACGAGCCGATGGATCCACGCGCGAAGATAAAAGCCTCGATAAATACTCTTGGAAAATGAACAAGCAACGAGTAAGTCCCCAGATATTCAGCTTAGTGATTAGTCGAGCGGTACCTGGATCTTGACAACGGCGAGCAAATGTCTCTCGTCACGAGCTCGAGCCACTAGATGCCGATACGCAATCTTAGCGAGAAACCTCCGAACGCAAGATTGAACTCGTATGGCTGCGCATTGGTGTTCTTCTTGTCGGCTTTTAAAGCCTCGTTTACGTCTTGCGCGGTCTTTGACGCCTTGTCTCCAGAGCAGCGACGTCTCCTTCCCAGCGCTCTCTTCTGCGAGATTACTACGCACTCGTAGATTCTCTTGCATGTCAGCGAGCTGTCATAGAGCAATCGATCAGCTACGTGTAATAGAGAATACGACAGACTGGCACTTACATCGAGTCGAATGCTGGAGCCAGTCCGTAGTGCAAATTTCTTCATTCGTCGAGCGTACGCAACCACCTGTGGACGACCACGGAACCCCCGAAAGCAGGCCTGGATACGCGTCGCTGCCCAGCATTCCAGCTGCGCCTTCTCTTCCCGTTCCCTTATTAACTGAGCCATAAACGCATCTCGTTCAAGCAATAATTCGCGGTGTAATCTCTTCGTAGGAACCGATAACGCAGGTAAACTCCGTCGAAATGTTGGGAGTTGAGCTTGGTGCGGCGACGACCCTCGTCGAGATTTACTCGATCTTGCGGACAACGACTTCGGGGCCCCGTATACCGTCTCGCGGGTTTCTTGGTTACTACCTGGTGCTACCAACGGGTGTGTGGACAGCTTGCTACGTTTACGGCGAGTTCCTCGAGCGGCAAGTGCCGTGACAACCGTCGAGACCACATTCGCCGTTGTGAGCTGCGTCGTGGCTAGAAAGGTGTTACGCAAGTCGTCCAGGCCGTTAAAGCGCGTGGTTTGTAATGCCTTCTGCAGTGCTAACTCAAATTCATCTCGTGGTTCTTGGTCCAGCGGGTCTGTGTCGGTATCAGTCTCCACCAGGTCAACGCAGAAGCGATCGAGACTTGATGTAAGCTCTTGCTTTAGGGTATCCACCAGCACTGCGGCTTCATTCACGGATGACATTTACTCGAGCAACGCAATAACTACTGGAGCGGCAGGACGTTACGTTGGTGACTTGTCCAGTCGATCGTCACGTGCGACGCGAACGGCCGTTCCGGTTTAAGCGTCTCGGATCCGTCGCCGGAAATGGTGGGCAGCTCGCTGACTCGGCAGAAGCTGGCGTGGCTGCAAGCTCGAGAAGAGCTTCGTCAGGCACAGATCGTGACTGTGAAGCAGGGATTGAGCCTCACCCCAAGTCTCTACTTCGGCACGAGACGATGCACGTACAGCACCGTCGTGTCCGTGGTCACGACAGCATTACCGCTGCCACGATACGACCCGTTAGATCAGCAAGTCAGCTCTATTAATGAAAAGGATACCCACTCGAACGATGCTTCTCGATGGGCTGAAGAGCGCGCAAGGGAAGCGCTTACGCGACTGAAGCAGGTCGACGACAACCAAAACGGTGAGTTCGAGAAACGACCACCGTACGCTGCTGCAAAAATGCTCCCTACTAGGCAACAACAGACACTCGCTCTGGTTCGAGAACAGCGCGCGTTCATGAAGTCGCTGCATAAAGCTCGACGTGAACGAGCACGACGAGAGTATGAGGCTGCGTTGGTCATTCAACGAGTACGACGAGGTTTCGTGCTGCGTCGGCAGTTCCGCGGCATTCGACAAAAGCTTCTGGTTCGCAAACGGATACGCGGTAGTTTACTGCAAGTGACTAAGGGCACAGCTCTCGTACTTGGCGAGAAAGATCGACGGCTGAAAATGCTGGCTAAGCACAACAATGCTGCAGTCAAAATCCAGAGTGCATTTAAAGAGTGGGGCGCTCGTCGACTGCTAGCAAAGTTACGGGCTCTTAATCATCACGAGCAACGTCAACGGTATGCGTCAATTATTCAAAACGTGTGGAGAGCGAGTACTGCGCGTTGGGTGGCGACCAAGCTGCAACTGCAACGGGAGCAGGCTCGACGACTGGCTCTAGCTCGCTTGATGGCGAGGCTGTTCGTTGGGTTCCAAGCGAGGTGTCGTGTGCGAGCGCTCCGGCTGCAGCGAGAGCATCGCGCGGCATTCAAGCTGCAGAGTTTAATTCAGTGTAGACTTCTAGCATCTAAATCCTTGAATCAAGCACGGACGAGAACCGCACAGGAACGAGGACACAGTGGAGCTGCAGGCATGCAGACTCTCGTTCGTGGCATGTTGCAGCGTGCATATGTGGCCAAAATGCGTCGAGCGGAGGAGCTGGCCGTTCGCATAGCATGCACGCTATCGATTCAACGGGTTGCAAGGGGGTTTCTAGGACGCCAACGAGCACGAAGACGAGGCTTGCAACGTGCTCATGAACGAGGCTGGATCTGCGCAACGAATGTCACGCGTATCGCGCGAGGGCTCCTCGGAAGACTCGAAGCTTCTCGTGAGCGAGCTGTACAGGAAGCAGATCTGCTGGTACAGGCTCGTCGAGGCAACGTCGATACTGTCGTGGACCTGTTGGACGGCTTTGATCCTTCAGTCATGGGACGGGAAGATGGCGTAGACGAGGATCTCCTTGCTGTCCAACCAGCGGACGTGACGAGAGTGAGTGTCCCGGGCGGCAATCACGTGCTGCACCTTGCTGCAAAGTTTGGACACTTGGAAGTCGTGACGCTCGTGCTGCCACGGCTACTGAACTCGGCTCCGGAGGTCGTGTACGCGCGAAACGCGAAGGGGTTTACAGCGCTGGCACTAGCCGTGATTAATGGTCATGAACGTGTAGCCATCTATATGCTCGCAATGACCTCACGTTTGTTTATGGATCATGTGCTGCCTGGTCGAAGACGCACATTGCTACACGAAGCCGCACGACGTGGTCTGGGTACTGTTGTGGCCAAACTACTGCAGCTCTTTCCTCAGACTTTCACAGGTGCCGAACAAGATGCGTGGACGCAACGAACAGCAATCCACGAAGCGCTGCTTGTGGGTATTGAAGTTGTACAGGACGGACAGGTATTCCCTTGGAGCCGTCATCAAACACACGCTCATCGTATTGCGTACAGTCCGGACGAAGAAGCAGATCACGCTATGGCTGTACTAGAGACTTTACTAGCCAAAGCTCCGCATGCTCCACTGGAAGCGAAAGACTTCCTGGGCTTTACGCCTCTGCATATCGCAGCAGCAAGAGGCAACCTCCGCGCCGTCACCCGGTTATTGGCATTCGGCGCGGATGTATCCGTCAAGGACGTACACGATCGCACAGCTTGGCGCGTTGCCTTACTACGTGGTCATGACGCGTGCTTCCAAGAGATCCGTCGCAAGTGGCTGCACGACGTAGTGAGCAATAACGCTGGACAGAAAGGTGGGGCGTCCGGTGCGGCAAATGTCTCGACAGCTCGAACGGTCGTAACACCGGCGGGATCGACGTCAATGGCTCTACATCCGCAACTCGAGCTCGAACTCTTTGCTGCCTGCAAACGCGGCGACGTCGCCAAGATGCGCTTCTATATTGACGAGTGTGAAGTCTCTGTTAACGCAGTGGAAGAAGTGGAGAGCAATCCAAACGCCGACGATGCGGCAGTGCTCTCTCCTTTCCGGCCATTAGGACGCTCGTTGCTGATGGTGGCGTGTGAGCATCGACAGCTGCGCGCTGTTCAGTTCCTGCTCGCGAAGACCGACCTGAACGTCAACTACACGGCTGGTGACGGACGCTCGGCACTCACAATCGCGCACGGCAAGTTTGGCGAAGCTTCAAGCGTGCACTAGAGCTGTCTATTAAATGTTATCGAGGAGATTTTTGGCTTGTCTAGGCGTGAAGTGCTGTGTCTAGCGCCTGTAGCGTCGAATCACGATATAACTCGCGCCACAGTTTGAGCACCTCCCACGGTTGCCTTGTAATTCCAAGACGGTTAGCTTGTTCAGCCGCACGACGCAGTCCAGACTGCACAATACTGTGGTCAAGTACTTTACGCGCCAAGCGAGCGTCGCCTTGAGCTTCCACAGTCGCTAGTTGCATCATCACTCGAGCAATTTCGTCCTTACTCTTCTTCTTCGTAGCTTCGGCTTCAGTATTGACGAGATCAGCTGTGGGCGCTAGAAGTTCCAGTCTCAGCGCTCGCAGCTGATCGTCACGCTCGGCTTGTTCGCGTTTGCTTTTCTTATGACGCAGAACTGGACTCGCTCTTGCAGAGTCGACAGCAAGACGTCGGCCGGTGCGTCTCTCTGTTGTCTTTGGTCGCGTTAGATAAGGTGCTAACATCTTGTCCATAACGACACCCACAGCAGCACTGACAACTGCGCGCGCGTGGCTCGCCACACACTCACGTTGGGCTTGCAGCTCTTCCTCCGTCACACGACGTGGGGGTAGTATATGAACACCGTAGAGCTGTCGAGCTGGAGACGAATGTAGCCACTTTGGATTTCGAACACACCACGGAGACACAGCTCGAGCCTGCGCGACGAAGTTCTTGTGTCTCTCTTCAACTTCTGTCGAGAGTTTGGCATCAGCGTAAATGGCTTCAAGTCGACGTCTGACGTCACGTAGACTCACTGTGCGGTCTCGTTGACGAGACCGAACGAAGTCGTGTAAACTCGCTCCTTCCTTCTCAAATGACACGCAGGCGAGTCGAGTGTGAAGAACACGCAGCCACGGACGCTTCTCGAGATACCCCGCTGTCTTTTCTAGCGCTACAAGCACATCCACTTTGGCAAACCGTTTTTCATCCAACTGGTTGCAATGTTGGTCTCCTGTATGGTTGTTGGACTCAGGGTGTTGCCGCAGCTCACGGTCACGTTGTCGCTTGGTGTACGCGATGGAAAGATTGTAAAAGACAGACTCGATAAGACGGACATCTAGTGCTAACGAATCCTCGAGACTTCGCCAATCTACTTGATCGTGAAACACCATTTCGCACGTGTCTTGGGTCTTGCTGAAGCGCCGCTTTAGTGTCGGGTCACATATCTTTAGTCGGATCAAATGGGGATTTTGCTTCTGGACATGAACCGAGAAAGAGGGAGAAGTCAATACGCTTTACCACTAGGTGCACTGCGAAGATGGCGTCAAACGCTTCTCAGCTTCTTCGGCAGGTGTGCAGATCGACACCACGCAGTGGTTGGATCTACTCTTCACTTTGCATTCGACGGCCGGGCACCCGCCGTGAATTACCCGTTGGAAACTATGGTGCTGTGTGTAGCAAGTGCTATTGTCTCACTGAAAATTCCCTAACTGGTCCGCTAGGCGAAACTAGCAGCTCTTGACATGGCCTTCGGTGATGCCACGACGTCTACCCAACACACGGTAGCTGACAGTTTGTGAATGGACTAGTAAGACTTTACCGGTGCGTTGCCGCTATACTGTCTTCTTAGTCCTTCATCACTGACTGATGACGCTACAGCAAACAACTCGCCTTCTCGACCATACGAAACGATTTGTTTCCGTTGCTCTTCCAAAGGCTGCTGACTAAAGAGCATTTCACTCCCGACGCATCTACAACATAACCCCTCTCGAGCAGTACGTGAGCTTGACACCATGGCGCTAGTTACTCAAAATCACAGCGATCGGTCTGGCAACAGATGAGGGAGCAGCCACACGCGTCGACACCTTCGAGTTGCATGACTTTCGCTTCACTCGCCAGGGGAATATCCAAAGCGTCACGGGCTCCTCCTCATCTCCCACGACAACGTACGCCACGTTAATCATCCCACCTGCTCGAGCAAGTTCCTCACACTAGTTTACTACTCACCTGCATGCAGCTCGATGTGGCGTGTCTGGTAGAACGACAGTTGGAGCTTGAAGGTAACGAAGACGCCGTCACGTGGACCAAACACTTAACTGACAACGTTAACCAACGCAGTGTCGACGATCTCGCGGCATTCTGCACTCTACACCTCGAGACGTATCGAAATAGCCCGAAAGCTTGACGTCTTGAGCGTACGAAGACACTAGAACGTCAGCTGCAACGAGACAACAGTCGAAACCTCTGCTATTCCTTGGCGCTCGACCGTCTGCGATGTGTCGCTATCTCGGAGACTTAACCCGAACGTCCATCGGGGAAATCGCCACTCCAGCTCAAAGTGGACGACCCGAACGCGTTGTTCTTGCGCGAGAAGGTGCCGACCGATACAGGAGACAACATTTCCACGGGAGACGCACACCTCTTTCCATAGTGGAGCAGTACAGACGACAGCAAGGGACGTGAACGGCGACAGACAGCTGAGCTCGTCGTTGTGGGTGGACAACCTCTCTGGGTCGTCTCGAGCGCGTACAAGACGCTGGCGTTGCTCAGCATCCTGGAAGCCATGCTGCCATTCGAGCTGCTGGGCGGTGAACTCAACCGTCTTTGCGGTTTTGGAGGAGCCCAGCAGCATTCCGAAGAAGAACAAACAAGAGCACGCAGTGTCCTAGGAACGAGATAAATTACGTGTGGCTTCTGAGAGCGATAGAAAGAAAGCTTCCTCTTAATCCAGGAAGTCAAAGATCGAGCTGGCGTGAGTAGAACTGGGCGCGCGAAGAGCTTTAGCCTTGCGTCGGCGCTGGCCAGCAGACGACGGCGAGTCCTTCACGACAGCCAACTGGCAAGTCCTCGTAGGTGTCCGCAATAGGTCTGATGTCTTTTTCACCCGCAGCGGCGTCGAAGGAGAAGACTTCGTAGGCGTCAGATTGAGCGACGGCGATGGTCGGAACAAGGCAGGAGAGCGCGTAGCCCTGGTCGGCGTTTGCAGCAGAGCTGTGCCGTTCTTGACGGGCAACGGGGTGGAGGAAAGCGAGCTGGACGGGAAAAAGTCGATGGAAGCGGTCGCACTTGTCGCTGTAGCGCGTGGCTCACGCGCAAGCTTCGTCTTGCGCTTCGACGACGTTGCAGTCAGGCCGATTACCTCGCCATCAGCATCAGAGGTGGTGCCTTTCTCCTCTTCCACAGCTAGAGAAAGGACCAGCCCGGCACTGCTGTTGTCTCGACAAGTCACATCTATCGTGAACACCATGCAGGGCGACGGGGGCTTCTCGAAGGCAGCAGCTTCAGGCTCCCTGCGTTTCTTAGCAAGTCTAGATTGGCTCCTGTGGCCGAATTCGGAGTCAAACTCTACCACGAGTTGACGGGTGCGCTTCAAAAGCCTCGCCACGACGGGAGAAGACATAGAACCGCCCGGTAGAACAGCAATATTCGAGGCTCTAGCCCGTACGACACCCGCCTGTGTACTCATAGCAGACTCTCTTCTTGGTCGCTTTGTGCCAAGAATTCTTAGTGGGGTGCGCATGCCATTGGCCTGGCTACTCCTTTTCTCTTGGACTAGGCGTTCATCGTCCGAGTCATCAAGGGTGGAGCACAGATTTCTCTTTACTTGAGTTCGAAGAGCTGGAGGCGACACTTCACTCGCTTGAGATCCGACCGAGTCGAGTGACATCGTAGAGCTTTCATCCGTTGCGGCGTCGATAAATTCTGTCTCTTGCCACTCACTAGCGCAAGGAAGCGCCTCCACAGCGATAGTATCCAGCAACTTTCTCTCCACGGTACCAAGCGCACGGTCCTGGCATGGCTCGAGCACTTTTTCCACCACTAAAACGGACTTAGCGACTTCTGGCGTCAACGCACCGATCTGCGAGTGAAAAGCCACAAAGACACTAAGCGCACGGAGCAGCAGACGCGGCGAGCCATCCGGCATCGCCTCCAGAACTGCTGCGCTGTTAGCCGTCGAGCCTTTCATCAAATATCCAACTAGAAGCGACATGCATCCGCCGAGAATCACGTCTTCCGGGCTCCAGTCGTCGCTCTCCTGGCCTGAAAATGCTCTGCCAGCGTCTCCACCTTCAGCCCCGTCGATAAAATGCTGGTACGACTCGAGCTTTGACAAGAAAAACCGAACAAACAGTCCGCAACCAGCTTGTGACGTCACAGCGTCACCACCAACGTGGCATGCAGCCAGCGCGTCACGGTTCTCCTCGCTGAGCTCGATACTGTTGACCATGACGCTCAATAGCAGCAAGCACGAGTCAAACTCCCACTTTTTCTGCGTCTCCGCTGCTGTCCCCGCTCCCCGCAGTCGATCGAACGCACAGACAAGCCGCTGCATGCCGTCGAGCGCATGCACATGCCCCGCTGCCTCAACGTTGTGGTGGGTCAAGTTAAGCAGCACACGCAGCGTCGCCAGCAGCGTCTCCACCGCTAACGTCATCCTAGAGAGCTCCGTGTCGCATCGTCTTTGTGCTTCCACGCCCCAGCACAGCTCACTCAATAGCTGGGTGAGTTCCAGCAAGACTGCGAAGAAACTTCTCTCTCTGGACACGTATTGCTGCACATCCACCGTTAGAAACGTAGCTTGGTCAAATACACGCAGTACCATGTTGATGTGATGCAGCGAGCGAGCGCAGTCCCCTGTGACTTCGTAGTGCTGTGCAGTCGGCAGCAGTTTCTCCAGACTGTCGACCTGTTGGACGAGATCCAGCGCCAACACGGCGAGGCCGCCGTTCCGCATGAGCTGACGCTTCCTCGCTCGGATTTGTTGGAAAGCGAGCTCTGCAGCGTCACCTGATAGGCTGGTTGAGGAGCTGGACGGTCCGTCCACTTGTAGCAAGTTGTGGAGAGCAGCACAGAGCGCGCTGAGGACCGAAACCTGCAGCTCGTCTCCAGCATAAAACACCTCGTGGTCCTGCAGCATCTCGTCCAACTGCAAGCGACAGAACGCATCCAGCACCTGAGTCGTTGACGTCTCCAGAGTCGCGTCCTCTGCTAATTTCTGCGTATTCTGCTTGCGCTTCAGGCATTTCTTCATCGACGCAGCATCCGACACCTCGGCACGCTGTTGTCCTGTCTGTTTCTCTGTCTGCTCTTGTTTGAGTGCGTGTATAGTGGCGGCCAAGACCTGATCGTCAAAATAGTCCTCAGTATCGGCGCTTTTGGACAAGAAATAGACCAGCACAGCCAGCGACAGCCGAGACATCTCGTCGGTTGTGTCTCTGAGTGTCAATAGCAGCAGCTTGAGTTTGTGCTGGATACTGCGTCTCTGACTGGACAGTGCCACGGCCTGTAGAGTCTGTGGGTCTTGTAGCAGTTGCATCAGCTCCAGGACGCTGCGAGTCTGCGCCAGACGCGCTCGAGATGTCCGAACGGGCCCCAGCAGACCGTCCACGAGGTACACGATATCGTCCAGCCTGGCTGCGAGCTGTCCGTCCTCCTGCAACAGTATTGTGCTCTGTAGAGCTGTCATCGTGTCTACTTCTGCGCCCGAAAGATGGTCCACGTGCGAGTGCTGGCGGCCGTAAAGCGCGAACTTGTCGACGGCTTCCAGTCGCGATAGCAGCGAGTCCGGTGCATGGGTGGCGGTATGTGTGTTACCAGAAGATGTGTCGGTGTACGGAGGACACGGTGGCGATGGTGTGCAGCGCAGAAGACACCCCGAGACCCCGCTAAAGCGAGATAGAGACGCCATCGACAATTGGATGCCTTTTCACCAAATGATGAAGTAATGATTATTTTTTTTCTTCATAAAAACTAATAATTGTGCTACGTGTATAACTGTGAAATACAAGCGAGAAAAATACGTGAAGTTGGTACATTGTAGCGAGGCACCGCGCATATGGGGCGGAGCCAGCACAAAACGTCGAGCAGGTTATGTTAGAGTATGGATCAGCTCTACTAGTTAACGTGTCCACCAAATGAGAAAAGGAAAAGTGACTAAATTTGTTTAGCTAGCTTTCGTTCTCTCTCTCTCTCTCTGCAACTAAACTTGGGCACCTGCCTGTTAACATGCAAAGGCCCGCAGCTCCATCTCACGATGTACGGGTCCCAACTTGACCTTCAACCTCCTTGGTTTTCTGATCTCAATGTGCATCCAAACACGCCTCCCTCGAAGCGCAAGCTCCGCACTCTGATGCACCTCTTGTGAGTCAGTTCCTTATTGTGTATTTTCGATGCCCATGGGTTGCTGTAGTTTCTGCAGTCGTTGCTTGTCCAAAGGCTTCGTAAACATGTCTGCAGGATTCACGTTCCCGTCCACCTTGTGCAATTTGATCACACCTTTAGACACTTGCTCTTGCACGTAGTACCAGCGCAATTCGATGTGCCTAGTTCGCCGACTATATGTAAGGTTTGCTGCTAGTACATGGGCGGCTTGGTTGTCGATCCCAATCTTCAGCTTTACAGCTTTTGATCTCAGGATCTCCTGCAAAATGTTACTCTCGGCCTTAGCCTCCAGCGCTGCCTCACATGCTGCCACGTACTGAGCTTCTGCTGTTGAGAGTGCCGCAATTGTCTGACGTCTCGACATCCAAGACACAGCCCCACCTAGCAAGGTAAACACCAGTCTAGTCGTGCTCTTCCTAGATGAGTGGTCATTGGCTCAATCGCTGTCACAGAAGCCATCGAGAGCTACCACCTCCGGTGTCTCCTTAGGTCGGCTGGACGTAATGTCTACATTCACTGCTCCAGTTAAGTACCGTAGTACTCGTTTTACCGCACCAACATGCCTCACAGATGGCTTCGAAACGAATCGGCTCAGCTGCCCAACTGCGAATGCCAAGCCTGGTCGCGCTTCAGTGGCGAGGTACATTAACATTCCTATGGCCTTTCGGTAAGCGAAGCTCGTGTCCGATTCCTCGTCTTCATTTAGTGGAACAAATCGTGCATTTGTTTTTTTCGGATTTCCTACAGCATGTGCGTTCTGGTATCCAAACGTCTTCAAAATCTCACGCGCGTACTTGCTCTGCCTGTTCGTAACACAATCCGAGGTTTGTTCTACCTCAACACCTCGGTAGGATGCGAGCAAGCCTTGATCTTTAATTCCATCTGCCTTATCAAGCGCTTTGCACAGCTCACACTTCTTTGACTCGTCGTCCGTGGCGACCAAAATGTCGTCTATGTACACAAACATCAGTATGATACTATCTTTGCTCAGCTTGTAGTAGAGACACGGCTCAGCGAACGCTGATAACCATTCCCCAATAGCCAACGGCTTAGCGCTGAGTTCCATTCTCTGCACGACTGCTTCAAACGGTACAAAGTTATCAACACCACATACATGTGACCGTCAATCTCACATGGGAATCCATCAATTGACCTTGAGTACTGTCGAATCGCCAGCAGTGCGCTCAAGTGGGCCGTGTTGATATCACCTCCGTATAACTTCAGATGTAACAGAGTTGCCAGCGCTACCATCAACCGGAAAGACGATACACTTGCAACAGGAGCATAAGTCTCCACAAAGACGATGCCCAATCTTTGGGTCTTTTCCATAGCTACAATACGTGACCTGAAGCGGAACCCATATCCTTGATGGTCTGACTTCACTGCGTACACCCACCGTGTGTTGCCCTGCATATTTCGGAACGGCTTCCTTGGGAATCTCTTCGATCACCCCTTTTGCTCCAAATGCCGCCATCTCTTCCAGCTCTGCTTCACGCCAGAAGTTCCAAAATTCCGATTTAATGGCTTAACGATAGTTTCGTGGTATCCGCCTGTTGCTAGCCGTGATGGGTCTTTCATTTTTGTCGAGAATCCGTGCTGTACTCTGACCACATTTGCCACATAGTCGTTGAAGTAGTTTGGGCGTCTGCGTTCATGCGCCTCTCGCAAACCGATTCGCATCCTTTTGGGTTGTTGCTCGTCAGCACTCTTTACGACTCGCAATTCGTCCGAAGATGTCTCGCTTCGATCCCTTTCTGTCTTAATGGTAGTAGCGCACTAGCATCTACTTGTTCAACAGGGTCAGTCACTAGTTCACCAGTTTCATCATCATGTGCATTATCCGTCAGTCGATCACTATCATCACCTTCATGAGGTGATCCACACACACTGGCTAATATCATGTCCACATCAGCTTCATCAGCTTCTGGAACCTCCGATCCTTCAGTAGATCCACCCATGCCCACCGCAGACTCGTTTTCCTCATTCATCTCCCATCTCACCTCCACTTCTCGCCAGAGAGGTTATTTGTTCACTACCTCCGCTGCCGTCATGTCCCGATACTACAATTTCTGTCAACTGTGAGCGAAACTTCGTCGACGAACCAGAAACGGCTTCTTCATTTTCATCTGCATCCTCTAGTTCAGTACAAGCTGCTGTGCCTTCACCAACCAAGGTCGCTGCCGCTACAGTACCAACTTCACTTGGAATGATCACTGTAACGCCTTCAACATTAGGAACAGCTCTCAGATCTTGTGGTCGCATCGCCTCCCTATCCGGTATAGACCCACTCAATTCAACCCGCTCCTGTGGCTCGCTAACCTCTACACCACTTTCGAGACACAGCGTTTCAGTCATTGCCGAACTACTATATTGATCCACTGTCAATTCGTCAGCACCCTACTGCTCGAAGTGCAACGAGTCCAAATCGGACTCATCCACAGAAATTTTATGTCGATCTCGGTACATCACGTCTTCAGCTACTCGCAAGTAGGCTACAAACATTGCGGTACGCCCTTCCGCGAAGTAGACCTTGCATCCAGCCACATCCTAAGCATAGCCGAGAACAAAACTAACCTTAGCATTTTTTTGGTGCTGGCATCTACCGGGTGATACTGGACCGTGCACATATGCCAAAGCCCCAAACTTCCTGATGTGGTGAATATCTGGTTTAACACCATACATTATATGGAAAGGAATGCCCTGAGTCCCCTTGTTATACACCCGATTCTTCCAATACACTGCATTCCGCAGCGCTTCCGCCCACAGGCCCCTTGGAAACCCAGCATCCCTCATGGTTGCCTTCGTCATATCTACAAGAGACCGATGTGTGCACTCACACAAGTTAAGTTATGAGCTGTTCGGTCCAACTAAAACGTGCTCAATGATTTGAGTCTTGTTGCACTCCTTCATCTGAAGGCTTACCTTTATCTGTTAGCACCTGCTGGACACTGTGCGTCATCAGCACCTGACGAGCTTTGTGCCTCACAGCACTCGTATTGACGAGTTCTTCCTGCCTGGCGCTCAGCCCAAAGGATACTCTTTGATATACTTGTTAATGAATTCACTGGACTTGCTAGTCAGCATGTGTACCGTGACAAAGCGTGAGAAACCGTCCATAATTACCAGCACGGCCTCAAAGCGTCCTTACTTGGTATCAGCAAGTAAGCATAATCCACTTGATTCGGTGCCTGCAATCCTCGATCCAGTTTCTTGCGATGTGAAGTCTTCTTTTGCTTGCCAATGTGACAGGCTTCACAGTCCTCCTGCACTTGCCTCTGGATTAGCATCATTCCTTTGACCAAGGCTTTGTCTACTGTGGTCTTCAAGTACTGCGGGCAGATGTGGCAAATTTGCTCGTGCCACAGTCTGAGTGATGCCACACCTTCCGCGGCAGTGAAATTTACCAGAAGTCTGTTCGAAGGAGCAACATCAAGTCTGTCTGATGTTGGATGCACTTGAAAATCCCAAGTAGCATCATGCGGCTTGGCTTCTGCCACCGTTCTACCCTCATGTTCCAGTTTGAAGACCTTAGGCTGTCGATCATAAACAAACTCAAATCCTTGCTCCATAGCTAAACCAGGAGAAAGAAGTTCGGCTGCTGCTCCTACGTTCTCCGGTTGAAGCCCAATGCGCGCTCCGTCAACCTCAGTCTCCAGTATCATCGCTCCAACACCAGCAATACGCGATGCTAACGCTGGAGTGACTCCCTGTACGCTCTGCGACTCCAATGTATCTTCCATGAACAAGCAGTAGTCGTCTCTGTTACCAGTAAGGTGTGTATTAGATGCAGAATCAAATACCACCAGTCCCCGGCAACTTCACTCCCTACATGCTCCTCAGAAGCTTCATCAATTGCATAATCTCCGTTTTGATTATTCAAACCAACATCAAGAATTTCAATGGGGGTCTGTGGCGTTTCCGGTAGCTCACCTAGTGTTCCTGCCACCACCCTACTGGGATGTGTGTGTGCAGCAGCCTGGTTGCTACGGAAGATTATCATCTGTCCCTTCGGCTTACGTTTCTTCTCTTCAGTATCCGCCGCAGATTTCACTTTCTGGGGGCAATCAACTATAAGATGCTCCGTGCTCTCACAGATGAAACATTTCTTCTGCTTCTTCTTGGGGCCACTAGTCTTCTCCTGCTGTTGATTATCGCCCTTTCCACTCGTGGCCTTATTGCCACCTGCGTTTCCACTACTTCCAGTATTTCCACCTCCTTGGGGTTTTCGCGTTGATTTCCTCCGACATTGGCTCTATATAGCTGTTGGCGCGAGTCAGCAACGCGAATCAGCTCTCGAACTCGCTCCGGAGATGTTCCTCCAACACCTATATTGTAACGAATCCCAGCTTTCAAACTCTCGAACTCGTGTTGACTTGGTAGACTGTCTAACAGCATCTCCACCATGTCAATGGCCTCAGCGGTATACTTCAAAGACGTCAACTCAGTTCGCAGGTTAAACATTTTACTTAAATGTTCATTCACGTCTCCACCTGGGGCTAGACTTGCGGCTTCAAGCTCGTTACGCAG